TTTTAATATGAATTATAGGCATTTATATGACTTTAAGACACAAATATATAACAAACACAACATAAAGCTTTCAGGCAAGCCAAAGGTAATATAGCCTAGCGATGAAACCGTTGGTCTGGTTGGCTCATGATGTGAGAGGTCCTGAGTTCGATCCTCAGCGGCGGCGTTTGTGTGTTCCCGGAGGCATCTTTGAGTGCCGAGAACGAAGTCTCCCAATGTTGTGTCTTGTACAGGTGCTCTCCAGATTTAGTAGATTAGGGAAATAAATAGCCATCTATAGACCCCTATAAAAGGCTGAAAAAGCCAAAATTCGAATCATTAAAGTTCTTAATCCCATTCCCAATCGACCATATTTAGCAAATTTGTAAAGTGGAATGATTCTGGTCGGAAATAATTTAACTCCTGAATTCGAAATTATGCCATGAAAATAGAACATTAAAGGGCAAACACAATCTGTTGATCCCCAAAGCATATAATCGAGAAGATCCTAAGTCTGGCATTCTATATCCAAAAATGGCAAAACCATTCTTAATCAGTGTTAGCATAGCTTGGGTTGACTGGAAACTAACAAAGTTCAGAGTACTTAAATGAATGATTCAATGGCAAATCAATTGCAAAAATGAAAACATTCATAATGCAATGGCCAAGGAAAGTGAGCAACCTAGTTTTTTTTTTTTTTTTACAAAAGATAAATCGATATAATGTGAGAAACCTAGATGGCATCAAGGAATGTGCAAACAAAACAAAAAAACACTACATGCAATGGACAGATGCATTTCCCAAATCCTAGTTGGCAGGAACCTATAGAAAGAGAAGAACCTGTGGCATTACTTGTTCTTGCTCTTAGAGAACGATCACATTTAGTTGATAGTTTTTGGAATCTTTACAACATAAAAACATCATTATAGCTCGATCTGTACTTGTTACCAATGTCATGACAGAACGATCACATTCCTGACCTACTTTTCATTCTCGATACTCGTACTGATTTAAAAAATTAGAACATTGGAAGAGAGGAAGATTAATAAAACGTCTCACCAATGCATAGAACTTCCATATCCGTATCTTCCACATCTTATAACAATCTCATACACCAGTAGCCCCTGAGGTTTGCTACGAAAATGTAACTAAGGAAAAAGGGTTTACCTCAAAATCAATCTGGAGAGCAGAGAACACACTGAAAAGGCAATCGATTTAATTGGGAACCCTCACATTCCAGTGATGAGTGAGACTGAGGAATTCTAGCGACAGGAGCATCGGCAGAGTTAAAATGATTCCCCTTGAACTCGGAACAATAAGATTTTCATGTAAATATGAGCATCTATTGATGGAAGAAACAATAATCACCTCAAAAGTTCACAATCCATCAGTGGTACCAGCAGACATACAACTTTGTGAATGAATTCATTAACAACTGATAACATATCATCTATGTATATCCAAAGAGAAAGAAATATTAGTGTCTAATAAAAGATACCAAACAATCTTTAATACTGTTAACACGGAAATATTTTCTTAATACTTGTCTTCTATGTATGACAATCAAGCATCTCGGGATTCAGATATCATTCCCACCAAAACAAAAAGTAGTTCACAAACAGGGGACATAGACCATTTTTCTCTTCTTCGAACTCCAAATGTTGCATATATAGGAAATAAGGTTGAAAGAAGATCATACCTTCTTATCCTTGTTTTTGCATGCTTAATCATTTTTCTTTCCCTCTCTTGCTATATTGCTCCTTCCCTAGCCCAAAAACAGACCACACCGGCATAAACGAAGCACAAATCACTAATGGACTTATTGGTGGAACTCAATACAAAACTTGCCTACTATCTCCAATAAAGTGAGTTCTGTGCATCTAAAATAGCAAGTCCTAAAAGTAAATGAAATCAGAGTCGGAGGCCACTACAAACAGTTCAATGAATTGACGGTTCCACCCAATAAAGAACCAAAATGTGAACGATCACTTACCCAAAACATCAATCAAAGTATAATGCTATGAAATTCAACTGAAATGCAAGAAATTGATTTGTTCGATCTACTATTAAGCATAAAACTTGCTCAACTCCCACCAAATTTTACAGAACTGAAATTGATTCCACCTGGATAGGGTATGCTATAGATCAACCGAATGATGGATAGGAAGAAGATTTTAAGAGAGAAACTCACATAGATAGGCCATCCTTGAGTATCGATCTCTCCTCCGCCGTCCAGTGGCGAGAGATGCGCTTCAATGGGAAGGTGAAATCAAGCTCTGGATTATTGTTGGACGCACTGTTTCCGATGGAAGAAGGAGGAGTTTCGCAATTTGCTCCAGTGTTGCATATGCCTACCAAACAGATTTGCCATAAAACCTGTCTAAGTGCCTCTGCCTTCGAATCCCCTGAGAAACCCACAAGAGAAACATCATCATCTCACCGCACTCCAATTCGACTCACTTGCGCCCTCTCTACTTCCTTTCATCCCATCGTCACCGACGCCCTAGCTTCCGCGCCTTTTGGCAAGACTTCTAAGTGTCGCTTCCTTTGTTCTTGCAACGCCAATATCAGCCTCTCATTCTTTGAATCAAACCCAGGAATCATATCAATATAAATGCTTGAGAAAACAGAACTGAGATTGGGATTTAGGTGGAAGTGGGTTTTATACTTATACCAGTATATAATGAACTGGCCAGGAATCGCTACTGCTTAATGGAACTTACCCCATCCGGCAGCGGGATTGACGAATCGTCGATTCCCCGGCCAGAGTAGCAGTTCTTCTATGGAAGTGGAGGAGGTTGGTGGTGTAGAGCTGCGCTGGAGGCAGATTCGACCGAGAGTGGAGGCAGATTTGGCCGAGTAGCAGTCGGAGTAGCGGTTCTTCGATGGGAGTGGAGGAGGTTGGTGTTGTAGAGCTGCGTCGGAGGCAGATGCGGCTGAGATTGGGGTTCTTTCTGATGCGGGAAGGAAATAGAGGGAGAGGGAGGACGGTTTCAGTCTACTGAAGAAGAGAGAAAACCCGCTTAAATGGGCTGCCATGTCAGCCTCCTAAAATCACTCTACGAGCAGAAAATTTTGAATGGGTGATGCCATTTTACTTTTCAGCTATAAATGATACTGTTGAAATATCCCAAGGGGTCGTTTGGATACATGAAAGTGGGCAGGGATTTGGCCCAAATTCGGGCCCGTCCAGGAATTTAAGCAATTCCCTTGTTTGGATAGGTCATACAAACAACCGAGATTTGGGCCTCCAGAATTTTCAAATCCGGCCCGATCTGGAATTGGAATTAGCTGCCAGCCCCCAGGTATTTTAAATTCCAGCCCTTATTATTTTCTTATTCCCAGCGTGTCCCTAGTGTGTCGTCTATTGCTCTCCCTCATCTTCCTTCTTCCCCGAACAGAATCTCCTGCCGGAGTCGGTGATCCCAACGGCGACCCAGTCAACCTAGTTGGAGTAGGCCTCACCAAAGCAATCTTTCGCTGCCGCCGAATCTGTAAAGAAGAGAGGCAGATCGCTAAATGATGGGCTTCATCGACGATGAAGAGAAGTCTCCTTCCCAATCAAAATCGGTAGCACATTGAAGCGCTTCACGTGGGATGGAACTGGCCGCTTTGTGACTCGATGAGATTATGGGCAGATTCAATCGCCGGCGGGAGACAAGCGGAGGAAGAAGGGAGTGAGGAAGATGATTGACCGATTTCTGGAAACCCCCAGATCTGGAGGGTTGGGCTTCGCGAGCTTTCCAATGGTCGGAGTCGAGCTTACCTCCGCTTGCATCTTCGTCGCTTCGAGACCAATCCATTCCCGACCACCCATCTGTCACTGATCTGCTGAGGCGGATTCGAGGCGAGACAATACTGTTCGGGTTGGAAGGAAATTAGGAAGATGAAGAGGGGAAGGGAAACAGAGTGGCGGATTGAGAAGATAATGGTGGCGGGGATTTGTTCTTGTGGAAGGAAGGTCTGGGTTGTGAGTTGAATTGAAGACGGTGGTGGGTAGTGGTGGAGGCGATCTGTACTTTTGTGTCTGAGGAGAGGAAATTGGTGTTGGTGTGTGTTGGTTGGGGAAAATTACATAGGCAAAGAGGAGGGAGAAGTACATTAATTTCCCCTCCATGAATCCCTACCATAATCTTCAACATCACAGGATAATCTTGAACGTTTGCCATGTCCCGGAGTTTGCAGGACCAATCTCGACCACAGAAGATTGGTAGCCGCGTCACTAGTCCAGGGAGTGTGCGTCCTGGAAAGACACCGCCAACAGAAGAGGTACGGCCCCGAAGCACAAGCCACACCATGGTGGACATTCTTCGATTTCCAGCTCGTCAACCTCCTCCTCGACGACAACGACAAGTCCATCTTCAGCGCCATTTTCGAATACAAAAAAACCACTACAACCACCATCTCCGATCCTCCACCAGACGGTAGTAACAAGAATCGTCAAATCTCTGGTGCTCTAGTCCCTCCAGGCTTCCACCAGCACGCCCCGATCTACACCATCGCCTTCCGCGGGACACTAAACAAGCGCGACTCGATCTCCCGCGACATCGAGCTCGACCTCCTCTGCATCCGCCACAAGCTCCACAAGAGCTCCCGGTTCCGCGTCGCGGTCCAGGCGGTCCACGACATGATCGCCTTCCTCAGCTCCGACAACCTCTGGCTCCATCGCAGAGGAGGAAGAGAAGTGGGGTTAGGTGGAAAGGGTAAAATCGTATTATGCTATTTGTCAATAAAAACAAATTTCTTATTAATGAAATTCTTATTGGTAAACAAACAGATAAATTGGTCAAATTCTTTGTTTAAAATCTCTGATTTTTTAAATGAAGGAATTAAGTCCAAATTCCTTGTTTATACTTTTCCCATCCAAACGAAGCCCAAGAGAAAATGTTGCCCACAGAAAAGAAAACTACCAAGCCCAACCAAAGCAGTGCCTCCAGATTTCCCCCCAATTCCTTATCTCTCAGCCAGCACAACGTTCTACTCCAATCCCAGTTCTGAGCTCCAATCCCATCCCCAGCAGCATGGTTTTCGCAATCTTCACTTCTTTAGCCCAGTCTTCTGTGCACGCTCTCTCTTCTCCTACCAAGTTATCATCTTCACTGAGAACTCCAGTCGGAATCCCGAAGTTTGTAGCTCCAGGAAGGCTAATTCGGGTTTCTAACCGAAGATTGCGCCCAGTTTGCTTCTTCAATGCTGGAGAAGAGAAGTCGAAGACCAAACTTGAGCCTAAGGTTCGGCTATGCTTCGAGATTCTGTTTTGATAGCGCTTTGTCTGTTTCTCCTTTTCAAATTTACAGACTTTTTGGGGATGTCTTGTTGCGATTTTAGGAGACTGGATTGGATTGGCCTGCTTTCAAGAGATGGGACGTGCCATGGGAGTGGCCAACTGTTTCATTAACATCACTTGCCTGTGGAATTAGGTTCTGATTTCCGCTTGCTCCTAATTTTGATGTGTTGATTCTCAAAATTTTCTTATCTGGGTACTTGTTTCTTGGGAAAAGATTATTTTACTGATGCAATCATGGGAATACGTAACTAACTGTTGTAGTTTGAATTGGTGTATGATGTTGGCTAGCTACACAGAAAGTGAATTAACTTTTTAGGCAGGCAGTTTTATTTTGACAGGGTTCGTGGAGGTTGAGACACTGCCATTTCTGGGAATTAAATTTGAACAGTTGAGTTTAGATGAGAAGGCTGAGATGTTATTTTTGGATCAAAGGTACAGGGGATGACTTCATTTCTTAGCAAAATTGGGAATTCCACGGGTTTCTGACTTTTCTAAACTTTGCTCCTACCCAGTCTAACAACAGCAGTCGTACTTGGAGTTATGTATAGTATTACGAAGAGCTTTGGACCACTTCCTGAAGATATCTATCGCTATGGTAAAGCAGTCTTAATATGTTGTTTGATTACAACTTCTGCAGATTCAGTTCGGCAATGGCTCATTTATTGTAATCATTCTGCCATTCAAGCAGTAAAGTTTCAGGATGGTTTGATGTTTTGCCAGATTTCAAGGAACCCTTCAACCTGCGAAGAGGCTGGTTATTGTGGGCTGGAATAGGTCTTGGAAGTGCTGTGCTTGCCATTGCATTGACGGGATTTGTTGTCTCTACTTTTAATGGCGAGACTCAAGAACGTGAGGTTAGGAACTAGTTTCTTACCTTCAATCATTGTTTTTTTAATTTATGGAGAAGTACTTGGTAGTGTATGTTTCAAATGGCTAGTGCCATGGCTGTATTAAGTCATGCCAACTTGGAAATCTCTCTTCTTTTTAGTACACTGGCGAGTTATTTCCAGTAAGTCTCTTTCCATTTCTTGTTTAGGTGGGACATCTTACTGGCAGCTTATTAGTCCCATGTTTGTCTAGTATAATCTAATTGGTCGGTGTTCTAATTTCTTGATGTTTCTTTCTATGAGCTTCTTTTTCTTGATCTTTGTACATCCTATATTTTGTCCTGTAAGGTACCTTTCACTTCTATTTATTGCAGGCTGATGCTCTTGTTCGGCTTCTTCCACTGATCGGATCCTCAGGCATCAGGTAAGTTCGAAATTGCTACCATGTAAAAAAGTGAATGTTGAAATCTCTTTCCCTTCCACTGTTTGAATTTTGAGTATGGATTGAAACTGCATTACTTGTTTTCGCCACCGTTGCAGCACTGGTTTACTGCTAGTAATCACCGGTGTCCTTGCTCCAATTTTGGAGGAGAATGTCTTTCGAGGATTTTTCATGGTTTCTCTTACGAAGTGGTATATAACTAATATGAGTTTGTTAGTTATACATTGATTATTCTGCCTGCTATGTGCTGACGGACTATACTTCTCTCTCTCCTACTTCCCTTAGGGTTCCAACACCAATAGCTGTTGTGATTAGTGCAGCAGTATTTGCTCTAGCACATCTAACTCCAGGAGAGTTTCCCCAACTGTTTGTCTTAGGTATATACTTGCACACTTGAATGCACAGCTTTGGTTGATTGTACAGCTTTGTTTCCTTGATGAGTAACTAAGAGAATTCGGCAAACTTGATTAGGAACTCTGCTTGGATTTTCCTATGCTCAAACACGGAACCTTCTTACTCCAATTACCATTCATGCTTGCTGGAACTCTGGCGTGATCTTGGTTCTTACCTTGCTTCAGGTACATTTTTTTCCTCCTCTAGTTCAATCTTTCCCAGTCTAGTATATATCTCCTAGCATCCTGCTTTGAATACTCAAATCCTAGCTCCATAGTAACGAATCTTACATTTGAAATTTTTTGAATGCTGTTAACCCGATGTTGTTTCTTTTGGCTCTTCCATTTCTCAGCTCCAAGGATATGATATCAAAGAAATATTGCAAGCAACCCAATAAGGGTAAGGAGTTTCATATCCTCTCACCGACGCTGCTTCTGCTAGAACTTTACTTCATCTGCTGTTATGCATGGTTTGGATGCAACATTAAGATAATGGAAGATATAGATATATGGGTTAGTTATAGATTTCGGCTGGTCAAGCTCAAAATAAATCTTTAGGGTCTAGTGCCAAAGTTCAAATAGTTGTGTTTGGTATGTTCATGCCGCTAGACTGGTTGGATGAGATCTGGGCTCAGTAACGTATGTAATTGTTTTGGCCTTGGGGTCATGAATCACCATATAGATGGCAGCATCGGTTGGTGCAATATTATAGTTGCGTTATGATAATCCGTTAAAATTGGCGTTTAGTTGTCAAGATTCAAGAATCAACGCGTCAAATGTTGATGTTTCACTTACAAAAGGAAGGCATTTAGGCGTCAAATAATTATTCGTCATGCATACTTTGACCTTTGTTAGGTAAACTGTTAACTTTAAAAGTAAAATAAACTTCAAACTTTAAGTACACACAAACGATATTGACCTCAAGTTTAGGATATAACTGTCTTTATTGAAACTTTGTGATATATATAAAAATGATATTATCCCTTTATTTTATTTATATCTCGTCTAGCACAATTAATAAATTAACATGAGTGGTACTATCATTTCTCTTTATAGGCGTCACGGGTGCCCACCAGAGGTTCTTTTGAATAGGTCTCAGGTCTACTCTTATGTAGATTTTAACTCATACCACGGGAGCTAAGCTGGGGTAGGAAGATAAACTCGTCTTCAACCGACGTGAGGTAGAAGAAGAAAGAAAGAAAGTTGGGATTAGTCTACGCATGTGCTTGTCAGTTTTTGTATTTTTAATAATTGGACGTAGGTCATCCTAACTTTCATTCAAAATCAAACGGGATTCGAAAATCTCCTGAAGGTCATACATAAGCCAATAGTACAAATCTGGATCATAGACATGAAAGGTATGGAGACCCAAAGGGACCGAGTATCCCCTACTAGCAATAAAATCTACACACTTGTTCCCTTATTTGTACATATGCGAAATATCAACTTGCCAATTACGACCTTGGAGGTCCTAGATGATTGTTGTGTGACGATGAACATTATCATCCTGGCGAAGGAGCTAAACTGTACATATGGAATTTAGCTGAGCTAGCACTCGACGGTAACCAAGGTCCCAAGCCAACTGAATCCCTCTCTACATCACCTTGCAATTCCGCTAAGGTGATAGAGCACATGCTTAGGTTGAAAGAAAATGTCGCTAAGCAGTCATGTGTTAAACCGGTAACTGGCAATGTTGGTTGGCGGTAGTAAAAAACTGCATTTGGTATTCCAGATTATGCCCGATTAGAAACCAACAGTTGGCAATTAAATCAGATAACCAATAACCCTTCTCTTTTGAATTCTTCACGCTCCCGTTCGATCGCATAAATATATATGAATCCACCAAATACTGTAGCCTGCACTAAAGCATGTTCCGGCTCCCTACTTGCTTGTTTATGCTTCTTCTCGCCGTTGCTATTTACAGCCTGTTTGGATACAATTCCATAAAAAATGGAAATAGAATTTTATTTTCAATTCTAACTTTTACGGTATTCCATTTTCAATTTTTGTGTTTGGTATAATTCCCACAACTATGGAAATGAGTTGTACTTTTACCAATTATTAATAATTTTGTATATTTTTTTATCTTGAGAAATGAGATATAAATGAGAAAGAAAGAGAGGAATATGATAGTGGAGTGATAAAATAACAATAAATATGCAGGAAAAAATCCCACTGTACACACGTTCTTAAAAAAAATTCCCAAAATACATGAGTTATAAAAAAATTTCCCAAAGTACACATGTTTGAGCATCACCGTTTTAGACAAAAGCGGTGAAGGTCATCACCGCTTTTGACCAAAACGGTGAATGCTTCATCGTCTTAAACAAAAACGGTGAAGTATTCACCGTTTCAAACTAAAACGGTTAAGTTTTCACCGCGTTAATTTACAACGGTGAATACATCACCGTTTTGGTCAAAAACGGTGAACTCATTCATCGTTGTCAAGTAACGCGGTGATTATTTCCCACGTTTCCCACCCCTGGTAGGTCAAAATTAGGTCGCAGCTACCACCTATTCACCGTTTGAGACAAACGCGGTGATGGTGTTCACCGTTTTCGACAAAAACGGTGAATAGTAGGCAGATTTTCCTATAAATTGCACACCACCAGCAGTTGTAAAAACATAACCACTCCCCTTTCTTCAAATTTCAGCAGCCAAAATCGAGCATAATACACAGAACAGAAATTTTTCGGTATGTTGAGACTTTTCGTATTATAGTCTAATTATGTTTTTAGTAGTTATAGTATGATTTAATTTTCGTATTATGTTGTTGTTAGTTAGTTGAACTTATGTTCGTTAGTTATAGTATGATTTAATTTTCGTATTATGTTGTTGTTAGTTAGTTGAATTTATTTTCGTTAGTTATGGTATGATTTAATATTAGTTGTACAATATGATTTTGGTTAATTTTACTGTCTTTAAGCTAATAGATACTTATTGTAAATTGTAGATATGGGTAAATTCAAGAAGTTTCATCTTACTATTCGGTGGAATGGAAGGGTGACAAACTCTGACATAGGCATTGATTATGAGGACGGCGAATCCATTATGCTGAAAATTGATTCCCGATTCAATTTTCAAGAACTCTGTGATCTTTGTGCAGAAAGGGTTTGTACGAGCGGACAGACGAGACTTGGCAAAATTACTTACCGGTATCCAGACATGAGTGCTGGCGGGATCGTGTTCCAAGAAGTTGTCATAAACGATGATGACGCGGTTATGATGATGTTACAGTTCCTAAGCGATAACCAAGTCCGGCTTGCAGAGGTGTATGTTGAGACCGAGGCGGTCGGTGAATCTCATTCTCACCAGTATTCTTATGATGATGGTTTTGCAGGAGGGTACGAACCTTAAAATAAGTAAACCTTAAAATAAATATATTTTAGATTGAGGGAGATTATGATGACTTACCAACGAACCCATCACAGCACCTTGCTTTGACACCCATCTCAGGGTGAACTTCCGATACCACTGCATGTACCCATCGTGGTAGCCCATCGGTCTCGTCTCTGGCATCCCTTGCACCACCCATTGGGATCGATTCTCCCAGATGTTGATGTAGAATCCATGCTTTAGCTGCCAGTTTGCATTGTTTTGGAGGTCCATAGCATATAGCTCCCTGAAACCTGCTGGCGGGTCTTGTGGAATTGGTAGCTCCATTCGATATTGCCTCAGGGATCGATCGGGTAGGTGCCATTCCACAATGTGCCAGCAGATCAATGGCACCTTGCACAACCACGTCTCGTGATCCAGAGGGTGCCTAAGATGATGCAGCTCAACCACTTCACGTGGATATGGATCCCATATAACCTATATTCATTCAAAAATTCGGAATTAACGACCATTTACTTTGATAAAATTGAACTTGTTCAAATATGGACAAAACATGATTACCTGATTCCACCATGGTTTATCTAACTCAGAACGATAAAACAGTAACGAATGCTCAGGTTGATGGTCATTCGTATTTGCTCCTATCCACCTTGTAAGTAAAAGTACGGAATCAATTTAATTGAAATATCGCTAAGCATATAATAAATTAAATTGGTCTAAGTACGGAATAAATTCAATTTAAATCTAGCTAATGTAATCAAATTTAAATTGGGCTAAGTACGGAATAAATTCAATTTAAATCTAGCTCAAGCATGTAATAAAATTTAAATTGGGCTAAGTACGAAATAAACTTACTTGACACCGTAGGGGAGATTTTGCAGAAGGTTGAGCTCATCATCGTTTCTCCGGTATGGACGTGGGTCGAGAGGTGCGAACATTGGAAGATGCTCCCATACCCACAGTTGAACGATGAACATCGCAGCACCAGCTTGCTTTGCCCCAACCTTCGAGCAAGTACACAGCTCCCGGTATACGCCCGCTAGCACGGCCGATCCCCAACTCTTCTCTCCAATTGCATCCCAGTCACCGGTGAGCAATGGCAACCATATGCCTTGAATCCACCGGTTGGACTTGTCGGGGAACAAAAATCCACCCACCAAACCGATGAGGTAGATGCGGGCGTAGCGCTCGACTTGTTCTTCCGGTGTCTCGTCATTGATTTCCACCTCTTGCTGGATGTGAGATACCAGCCACGGGACCGACACTTGACCCGCATTCAACGGTGGATGCCCCCGTCCTTGATTTGGTGTGGTGGTCGGCATGTCGAAGCCCAAACGATCACGGATGAGCGGCCCCCAACCTCCTCCGGGTTTGGTCGTGTTCCCAATGATGGCATCTCCAGATATAGGAAGCCCGGTGAGGATCGCCACGTCTTTGAGGGTGATCGTCATTTCCCCCTCCGGAAGGTGAAATGTATGGGTTTCGGGACGCCATCGTTCCGCCATTGCCGTAAGCAGATCGTTGTCGATCTCGATCCGCAAGAAATGGCGCAACATTCCCAAACCGGTCCTCGCTATATAGGGCTCCAACCTTGGATGCCAAGCGGACAAGTTATTGGTCCCTTTATGAACCACGGGAACAAGAGATTCCTAAAAAAATAGGAAAAACATCAATTTATTAGATTAAATAAAGCAAAATAAAACATTAGAAAATAATAAAATAAAGCAAGTCAGTTCATCAAATTACCGGATTGTTATCCCAAATGGCACGCGAGCGATGAGCTTCTTGATCGGTTAAGAGACTCGCATCCCTTGGGCCATAATGGATATACAATCGAGGATCGTATATCTCGGCACCCATCTATAAAAAAGTAATGAAATCAGAGATTGTTTTGATAAAAAAAATCAAATTGTTTCGATTAAAAAAAATTATAAACCAAAAACCTACACGAAGAGCCTCTTCGTCCATTATTGGCGGAAGCCGGACAGAGGTTCGACTGGTTTAGGTTTGTAAGGGACGGGAACTTAGCGGGACGGGGCTTTAGGGTTAAACTCTAGTAATT